ATTGATCCCCAATTGTACGCAAAAGTGGGATTCGATAGGAAGAGAATAATATGTGGTATGTGCGTGTAGGAAACATTTTAAAGGTGACAGAGCAGCTGTTTATCTCTGCTTTTTCCATCTTGAATGGACCACCCCAAGTGGTACTCTCATCTCAGGCTTCCTTAGATAAATGGTTTTTCATTTAGTTTATGACACAAAGCATGGTCGTTTAGCTTGACTGAAAATGTGAACCAATAGCCGGAGTTGTTACGAAAACTCAGTAATACCGCTTTGGCTATTAATTTGGTTGCTTCTGATTATACGGATTGTCGAATGAGAAACTGAATGCTTGGTTACGACATGCTGAAAAAGGTTAATGAGATTTAAATTTAAAAAAAATAAGCCTGTGAACTAGTTGTCAATTAATTAACCGGACATAAAAGTAAATGCGGAAATTGATATTTCATTATGATTAGACAACAGACGTGTGAAGAAAACGTGTACCACATAGACACTCAAGATCCATGTATTTGGATAAAGCACATTTCTTAATGAATAACGTTTGGTAGGAAAGCTTTGTTCAATGACGATGCGAATTAGATAATTGCGGTGTCACAAATTTACATGCGAGAAACAGTTGATACTGAAAAATTCCAGCACACACCATATATGGGGATTTTAGAATCCAGTGGTCCTCATTTTGTTAAATCGACCAATTTCATGAATTAAAGTATTTTAACTTCCGGCTCGTTCAATTAATAAGTAAATGTTTATTGGAGTTTATGATGCAAAGAATGTTGTCCATACTTTTATGTGCGATTATATTTCATATATTTCACTTTGGCTCTCACTCACCTCGGTTCTTTTTCACAACACGTGAAACCAGCACACCCCATCCAATTTCTCTTCGGCGCAACCGTATCCGCACAGCAACCTCGTTGACTGTGCTCGTCTAAGCGACGTGAAGTCGAATACGCACTGGTTCTACCGGGGCTACGCGTGGATGGAACTCGAATGGTCGATTGCATTTCACGTACAGTACCGTAACCCGAGGTGGAATCCATGGGTTGATCAGGTAGATTGATTTGAGGTGGGGACAAACTGACCGGTTGTCCGTAGCCCCGATACCAAGGTTGATCTAGACTGGTCGCACTGTCAAATAGCGGATTAGTCATATTTCTGGAACATGAACTGGGTGGTGCGTGTCCATGATGCTGCTGTGATCGACCAAGAGTTTGCGTGCGGCGTTCACCCGGATACGGTTCGTTCGGAAGCAGTTGACTGCGACTCTCGTCGTTCGCATCATTCTGCGGAAGATACAGAGAACTAGATCTGGGATAACGCATCCCCGTTAAACTGGAACGACGCACTCCGGCCGATTGAAATGTGTTCACTGAGCGGTTTGGGAGTGTGTGCATGCTGCTTGAATGAAGTTTGTTGAGAAGAAATGCATAGAGAAATGTACACTGCGGATTCCCAAAACAATGCTGAAAGGGTTGGTGATAAACCCGTAAGTAGAAGGAACATTCGATGAACCAAAGGCAGGTATGCAAGGGGAGGATGATTTGCGGACATTTAGGGGACGAATGTACTTGAATGGTTTAGCAAAAGTACTAAGCTCCGTTTCGGATTGTGTAAACTGGTATTAAACTCACGCATTTTCATCAATATTATCGATATTAACTGAACGATGAATAACGTTATTTAGTCGTTTACTCTATTTAATTCACAAACAGCGTCAAACGTGACGTTGCAAAGTACGATGCACAAAATGGAATCATAAAGGTGACCCGATCGGCTCACATGTTCAACGAATCATGAATCGCCTTACTATTCGCCAGGTATTGATGGCCCGGATGCAATAAAACGTGTCATTAGTTTGTGTGATCAATCACTCGGTTCCATTTAAAATTCGAATGATTATTTCGCACCCCGTGACTGAAGTTGTAGGATGATAAAGAAAACTTATGAAAGACATACCTCTATTTAAATAAGTGGAGAAAACATAAAGGAAGTTTTCAAATTTCCAAGCAACCCAGTAATCAATCAACGTTGAAAACTAGCACAATGTTTTGACTTTAGTTAATGGCTTCATATCCATTTGCGTTTAATTTGTAAAGCCTGCGGAGTGCCTTTATTTAACCAATGGCGGGCCATTCGACCGCATTAATCATAACTGAAAAAAGTTACTTAAATTTGCTCGTAATTCAATGTGAATTTCGCAGTGTTCCGAATACACGAAGAAAACACATTTATGTACGAGAGGCTTGTTTGACGCCGATACCATGCACTATGAACAAGTGTTTTGAATTTGTCAGCAAGGCGTTATTTGTGTGTCCCAAGATGAGATTCAAACCAAAATCCTTTCGGATCGGGAACCGAACCCGTACCCTTGAGGTACACATAGTATGATACATTTGTTTGGAATATTAATGCACAAACGTTTTGATCATAAGCAAAAATCAAGTTAAAGAAATGATGAATTATTATCGCTGTCCATAAACGCACAGTGCAGGCATTTTGGTTCCATTGATTGGGTGAAGAGTAGACATTTTGCCTGCCGTTCAGCTTGACCCCATGGTCTGTTTGCTTCATCCAATTAACATTTTTGTAGATTGCATCTTAACTTAATTTCTGCCCCTCCATTCATACTCGTTTTGTGGAGAGATCACCAAGTACTGGAAAACACTTCCCTTGTATAAAAACAAATATTCCAGTGTTCAGGAAAGGTACAATAAATTCATGAACTGAGAAAAAATATGGTTAAGACTACCTTATTCGTATTTTAGCGATTTGTTAAAAAGTTATTTATTGAATTAGAATGTGAAGTACATTCCATAAACAATTCAATCACATGCACAATTCAGAATACCTCAAACTGCAAATTTAAATGTGTAGTCATGGATAAACTATAGCTGAACGTTCTATACAAGTAATAACCAAGGTCAAACTTGGTACCATTGTTCTCGGGAAACCACAAGCATTCGAATCAGAATGGCAGCATCGTCAGATTTCATGTAATGCCTAATCACAGAGTCAGAACATATAGAATTTGTCTCTCCTTTGCAGAAGTATCCCAACATCATGCCAGAAACCGGCAAGATGTCTTTCGAGTTCTGATGATGCAATGTGCAATCTTCTGTGGACGGATGGAGTGCCTCCGATTGGAACGACTGGCTCGCGCTGTCACATCGTACAGGAATTACAGTACACATACCAGTGTTCGACGGAACAAGTTGTGGATGAGGTATCCTCACATACTGGATCGAAGACGTAAACATTTTGTTCCGGTACTGATACGAGGAATAGAGCTACTATTTCCTCCAACAGGACAGCGAAGTTGCAACAAATATATGGACACATTCATAATTTCGGAAGTAATATAACCCGCAAAATAATACCAAAATTTCAGAATCCAACAGAGGTCGTCACAACGTTATCATTACTATTAGTAACCTCGATTCCAGTCTTAAGGGAGGACGATACGGTGGAAATACCTATGTGGTTTGCCATGTCCTATTCTGTCAATTTCATTTAGGAGTAGCGTTACGTCTGACAAAAGGAAAAACGAGTTTACTTGACACGACATTCGTCCTAAAATTAACATGGTGTTCGCTAAACACGGTTCATCGTCAAACTTTTCCTTCGAATCACACACCGAGTCTAAATTCATTATCAACGGTTCGAATAACAGAATGTATCTATCCCGTATGCATCTAGAAACAGCCTGTGGTGATTTTGCATATATTCGAAAACTCACAAGGCTTTTATTTTATGAGTTAAACTATCAGCAATTTCAAGGTCACTGACGATCTATTCTGACTGATTAATTATTTGCTTCATAATTATTCACCAACCACAGTTCTTTCATGTGAGTAATGGTGGATTTGCTTAAATTGCAAATGGGAATTCGTCGTGTATATAGCAAATGAAGCGTGAATTGAAAAGCTCGGATGCTGAGTGCTGAGTTGAGCAGGGTCCGTGGCCCGCAACAAACTTGCAAATATGGGTTGTGCTTTATCGTGTAAATGGAAAATAAAAAACGGCCATCTTTCCGCACACCGTCACAACACCGTGATAAAACTTCATTTGCATTCGTTAGAGTTTGCTGTTATGGAGTTGGTGTTGGACGGATTATTCCCAAGCTTTTCTCACGTTTTAAACTGATAGAACCACAGGGAAGTTCGATCATACCTCGCAAGTGCGAAGCAAAAAGGGTTTACTGAAATCATCTCTTAATCGCGGTTGTCAATTATGATTGTTGTCAATACCTCATAATCCTGCCGTTTCATTTTATGTGAGAGAATAAAAACTGGGAGCTTGGAGGATAACCTTAAAATGGGAGGAATAGATTATTTTTTGTGTGTGCTGCACACTACATTCTCCGATCTGCGCCTCCGGGGTTTTCACCAATCCCAAGTTGGTCGTGTGACCCTTTTTTGAGGACTCCGTGTTTTCGTGTGAAAACGTGTGTATATGATCGGGGGTGGGTGGATTCGTGAATCCAGTGGAGATGGAGAGCTTAGATAAGAGGCTTTTGGGCACATAGTTTGGGGCAAATGTTTAACAAATATTGTTTCGCCTGTGGCCGACCTAGGCCTTCTAAGACCGGTTCAGAAAAACCTGATAAATAATGCGGAATGCTTCACTTGGGTTACCGGGATGACCAGTGCCTACCAAGTAGATGAGAATCGCATTTGTGATAAATCTGGAACTACCACGACTCAGCTAGCGCGAATGATGTTTTTTCATGCGGATAGATAACTGAACGAGAAAACTATCAACAGTCAACATCAGTAGTTTTTTTTGAATTCAGCATGGTTATCAGTGGATAAAGTTTAAAAGAGCACCGTAGGTTCGCGGTGTTGCATGTGGTTTTTAACGCTTCACTTAGTCGTCCGATGATTATTTCAGTCTCAAATTCGCCCATATAAGGAAGACTAACGAACAAGTTCTTATTTTCCACCCTATCAGGGTGTACTTTTGGCAATTTTTCTATCATTTTTTTAATGAAACGGTTTGGGTAGCTGTTGCTTCTCAGCACGGTGGAAACAAACGTAGGTGTATCTTCTGATCCTTCTTGTGAGCGGATCCTTTGAGCCCTAGTTACCAAGATTTTATTTTATGCCTCGTCAGCTTATTCGGTTTGTAACTGTGAAAATTCCTGTATTGCCACTACCTGATTTCCTGTGGTACAAACCACTTTGTATAGATCCCTTACGTCTTCTAGCGACGAGTGCACGTATAGATGGTATTCGATTATCCTTTTCTATCTCTTTTGTAAATGTTATGGCATTGTGTGTGAAGTTGAACTTTTCTAGCAGTTAATCCCGTTTGTAGTTTGCGTCTGCTATCCAAAACATGTAGTCTGCAAAACGAAAATATTAATTACTCATTTAATAACTATTATTTATTAATTTAGGGATACCCACAGAAACGCTAAGCGGATTCTTATTTTGATGTACAGTCTCTTTGAAATGGAACGTTCTCGCGACAAACCGACGGAGTAGAAATGGGTTCACAACTAGATGTCTTTTGGCAGATGTTCTCATGGCGATGCTGGAGTACAATCAATTGAGGGACGACAATACGTCTTCATGATTATTTTTGCTTTGTAGACATAGCATTGCGTTGTGCAAAATCTGAGGCAGTCAATCAGTTGCATCACTGTGTGCGGAACTTCTCCTCTTCTATTCGAATAGTGAAAGAAGATTATATTTTTGTGAAAATATTCACTTTTTGCTGTTTTTCAGAGACTTGTGTGACGGTGATGAATCTACTCCAAATCTATGCTAAGATAACATTGTTTCATTACAGCAGTTTATTTCACTTCGATAGGAATTCATTAATCATCACCATTCGTCGTTATGTAGAGCATTTATTAATATGTATATATATATATTGCACACTTATTCGAATGTAATGGGAACAATAGATAGTGTCTGTCTATAAATGTTTGTGAGAAATGAATCAAATCACTATGACACCTAACAGCAAATAAACCCATTAGGAATAACACCTATCGCACTCCCGTTTAGTGCCGGACTACATATGATACGGAGCGGGCTGAAAACTTGATGCGGCTTGTCCATTCTGTATCAGAATTCACTTGAGTTAGAGACATTGCTCGAAAAGAACATCGCACATGGCATGTCACTAGTCGAGTCAATATAATTAGATTTGTTGAGCAGTCGTCTAGCATGTTATCAGAGAAATAATTTTGGTACGAAACCCGAGTTTGCTTTATCAGGTATAAGTTATGGCCAGAGACTCAGGTGTTATAAAACGTGAGTAAATTTGTGTTTGCACAGCTCCCCGTCTCTGGATCTTCTTTTTGAAGCCAGGGTTGCCCAATTTCTAGGCTCAGGTTTGCGAATAACAAAAGCGAAAAACATTTGAATAACAATTTAAATTGAAA